TGTGATGGAGATGTATGGAGACATCTGAGTCTCTTCTTTGGACACAACAACAGAGGGGCCCTAAAATCGAAACCGCTTTTGTTCTGATGATGGCCAAACTCCGAAACCATAGTATCAGGTTGGGATTCTGTCTGAATTTTCTAAAACCGATGTTGTGGCTTATTCTTCATAATCATTATTAAAGTTATTTAGTCCTAATTTCTGCTCCGCGCTTATGGAATTGAAGACTTGAGGCGATGGCGTCGACCTTTCATATTAAATCTTACTTTTCCTTATTACTAATAATTGTATATAGTTGCGGAACTACTGGTTTCCTGTGCTGCTCTTTTCCTGTTATTGCACCTTGTACGGAGAATCTGTATAAGACTAACGTCTTAATAAAGGCTTTGTGTGTGTGTGTGTATTAAAGTTATTTTACTAGAATGATGAACAAGTGCATCGTTCTTATCCACATTTAAATCAAAATTTACATTTTAATTCATCGATGAAGGCTCTGCTATCTTGCCCTCTTCCATACAAGATCTTCTTGGTACCTTCCTAGGTACCCCGAGGAAATACCTGTAAATGTAGGTTTTAGCAGATGTCAGGTGGTGTCATCATCGAGGCCTCGTCCGAAAATCCAATCCTGCAGGTCAGGGGTCGCTCGATTAAAAAATATATATTGACATGGGGTCAATAATGATGTTTTAAATCGTCAATAAATTGTCCAATATCGAAAGGAGAGATGCCTCTTTTCGTATATATATATATATATATGTTGTAAATAATTTTACCATATTATTTTCTACATAAATTATATTTTTATCAATACTTTATTGTTTATGTGTATAACGAATCAAAAGTTTTTACGAAGGAGTATCTTTTATTATATTTGTGCAAGCTTTCGAACTTTGCAGTTCTTCCACAGGCATGGATAGCACAGAAATACTACCATGCTGTACTATCCATGCCTGTGGAAGAACTGCAAAGTTCGAAAGCTTGCACAAATATAATAAAAGATACTCCTTCGTAAAAACTTTTGATTCGTTATACACTTATACCAATTGTACGGAGTTTACCTGTAGAAACTCTATTGTTTATTTCATAAATGAACTCTGTGACGCCGAGAAGTCCAGACGGCGCTGATGTAGATATAAATATTGTTTTTTTTTTGCTTAGTCGAGTTAGTTAGACTTTTTTTTTTTGTTATCATATATGTAAATTTACTATAATTTTGTTTAATTAAGTTTTTTTCTCTCAAGATTGAGGTATTCTACCTGTTAAGATTTCTCAAGTTTGTTATTACCATTAATTTTGTAAAACTTTGACGATTGGTTACTAAATAAACCCGTCAAGAGTGGAGTGTTTTGATCTTCTTTAATCCCTCGACTGCTCAATCTCATCTCACCACCAGCACCATTTTTAAAAAAATAGAAATTAAATATAATATATATATATAGGACAGCCAAAATATACATTACCGGCCATTCAAATTGCTTTACCAAGAAAGAATACAAAGAGCACAGAATTATACTTATTAAACCTATAGTGTATAATGAGAAGGAGTAGTGATTGGAAGTTGTTAGTAATTTTGAACGATAGTGTAGCAAAAATCACAGAGTAGCTGGCTGTAAATAATAGCTTCAATCCTGCTGGACATCGAGTCGAATGCAGTTTGGATGACAGAAGTTCATGTGGTTTCAACGCTATAGTTCATCAATCGAGCTGTTTGTAGAGTCACTTTCAGCAAAGCATAGGATTAGGTATTTCAATCGGCGAGAGATCTGGAGAACACGCTGGATAAGGTAACAAATCTGTATTGAAGATGATCAGGATAGCATGAAGTCGTACATTGTCATGTTGAAAGGTAATAAGATTTCGATGATAGTATGAACCTATGGATTCGACATTTCAGAAATGTAACGGTGGCTATATAAATTATCTGCCATCACTAATGGCACCCCATACATGGCATCACTCGAGGTGATGGTCCCCTAGTACTATGACGAATGTAAGCAGACGTTCCTCTCTTCACACACGGCACAATCATAGTACTGTATATTTAAAAAGGCATATATTGGATCAAAATATCATTTATTTTACCAATATTTCAGTTGGCTGAACGCCAACCTTTATCAAGGTGTTATAACATTTTAAAGTGTGTCAACAACAAACTCAGCGCCACATAACGTCAACAGCATTAAGTTTTAAAAAAATATTTTGTTATATTCAATGGGGAGAAAAATAATTTTAAAAACTTAATGCTGTTGACGTTATGTGGCGCTGAGTTTGTTGTTGACACACTTTAAAATGTTATAACACCTTGATAAAGGTTGGCGTTCAGCCAACTGAAATATTGGTAAAATAAAGGATATTTTGATCCAATATATGCCTTTTTAATTAAAGATTTATCTATGGATTGCTCTATTTTCAAAATAGTACTGTATGTAGATACTAAATTCGTCTATAAAGATTTGACGTCTATATGATTATAGCTTTTACTTTTTTTTTCACTCGCAGAGACTCCAAGGTAAATCCAGGTATAAGAAATTTCTTTTCCTCCAATTTACCCAGATTAATTTATTAATTAGCTTGATTGTCTTAATTAAGAGTTTTACTTTATATAAATTTCATATTACCTTTATGTGATTAAAGGTCAAAGACTCTTCCAGTAAGATATGTCAAGTACGAAGTTTCAGAAGATTAGCTTTTAAAAATAACATTGATGATTACTGGTACTATTACTGTTATTCATTCATGTATCCTACATTTCTATTCGGAGCATCTGTATAAGACTGAAAGGTTTTAATAAAGATTTTGTTGTTGTATAAAGATGTGACGTCACTCCTGTTTCCATTGTAGTCGTTCAACTAACCATTGTAGACGATTCCTTCTCTGTTGCAGTATCAAAGAAAACAATGGCCGCCATGTTGACAGTCAATTGTCGTACTGTCCTTGTTGACACTTATTGTCATGAAAGCGCTTTAAGTTTATCACTACTGGTATTTTTATTTTATTTCAATTCAAAGCGCTATGTCCCCCTAGGGACACTTGCGTTGTCATACATGTATGACATTTGTCTATACATATATATGAAATAATTTTAGCCCGTGAATAGAATAGTCATATGATATAACAATGAAAAAGAGAGAAAAAAAAACGAGAAAAAAGACCCGTGTACAAAAGAAAGAAGTGTCTGGCAATATGTACAATCGACATAATATACACTGGCCCGCAAAATTAAAGGAACAGCATATTTTTTCCTTATATCTCAAATTTTATCGAACATTTATCAATGAAATTTTATTTACAAATTTATTATTTCATTATTGATTAAAATACCCGAAATCAAAGAAATCGAACACGTATTTTATGCAAATTAGCCGGTCAAACAATGATCTTCTTGCAGTCAGTGCATAAATATCTTGGAAATTGTTGTTAATATGGGGTGTGATCGCCTTTAACTGATAGACAGGCTCTACATCGGCGACTCACACTAAGAATTAGGGAGTTTATAAGCTCCTGTGGAATCAACGCCCACTCTTTTTTTAAAGTGTGTTTCTAGCTCATGAGTGTTTCTAGGAGGGGGTTGGAGGGATGAGATCCGTCGTCCTAGATTGTTCTATACATGCTCAATGGGATTTAGGGCTGGAGATCGAGCTGGCCAATTCATCCGAGCAATTGCATGGTTTTGGAGAAAAGTGTTGACCACATCAGCCCTATGTGGACGGGCATTATCATCCATTAGAAGAAAGTTTTCTCCCATTTCAACTGATACAATACGCAGAAGGCTTCACATGAAGGGCCTCTATGCTCGACGACCCATAATTTGTGTGCCGTTGACACCACCTCAAAAGAGAGCTAGGGAACTTTGGCGCAGACAACATGTCGCTTGGAATCCAGATGAATGGAGCCATGTAATGTTCACTGATGAGTCCAGATTCTCTCTAAACAGCTACTATCGTCGTGTCTTTGTCTGGAGAGAGGTAGGAATCAGAAATAATCCCCGAAATATGGTTGAAAGGGATCCCTACAGAAGCCAATGTTTTATGGTCTGGGCTGGAATCTTCTTGGGCGGTCACACAGCACTCCACATTTTTCGGCAAGGAACCCTGACTGGACAGAGGTATCGGGACGAGATCTTGGCAGCATATGTGATGCCTCAATCATTAGAAATGGTAGAAAACCTTCTTAAAATGGATGATAATGCCCGTCCACATAGGGCTGGTGTGGTCGACACTTTTCTCCAAAACCATGCAATTGCTCGGATGAATTGGCCAGCTTGATCCCCAGACCTAAATCCCATTGAGCATATATGGGACAACCTAGGACCGCGGATCTCATCCCTCCAACCCCCTCCTAGAAACACTCATGAGCTAGAAACAGCCTTAACACAAGAGTGGGCGTTGATTTCACAGGAGCTGATAAACTCCCTAATTCTTAGTATGGGTCACCGATGTAGAGCCTGTCTATCAGTTAAAGGCGATCACACCCCATATTAACAAAAATATCCAAGATATTTATGCACTGACTGCAAGAAGATCATTGCTTGACCGGCTAATTTGCATAAAATACGTGTTAGAATTATTTGATTTCGGGTATTCTAATCAATAATGGAATAATAAATTTGTGTATAAAATTTCATTGATAAATGTTCAATAAAATTTGAGATAAACGAAAAAAATATGTTGTTCCTTTAATTTTGCGGACCAGTGTAAATTATCAGTTTCTAAAAAGATATTTGTTGCTATATAATTTAAAATATATCTACAAAAGGTATTAAATTTAATATACATTTCTTTACTGGAAATAAAAATAATTGGATCTGTTACTATTAAATTATTGTCGATTCTGTAGTCTTGAAAAACAGGACAATCTAATAAAAGATGTATTGAGGTTTGTTCCTCATGTCCACAAAAACAACTCGAGTCTCCCGCTTCTGGTATGTAATGTGGCTCTACGATCTTGTAGGGTTATACGAACAATTTGTTTGTCCTCTTCAGGCGCTAGTGACCGTTGAGATCCTACATGGTAGCCTAGTGGACATGGCACCTGCCCGGTAAGCAGAAGGTTGTGGGTTCGATTCCCGCCCCTGGACACTTTTATTTTTCCCGTTCGCCATTACTCTTCATATTTTCACCCTCTCATACTTCATTCAAAAAAGTTAGAAATAGTAAATATTTCTCTTTAAAATAAATATTGATTTTTCATGGAAAAGAAGCTTATGCGGTATAATTTTAAGTATTGTTTATAATCACACGCCGCAGTCCTTTATAATGACTTTCTCTATTGCCATCTTGGATCCATCAATTCCATATTCTTCTGAGGGCCATAGGATAGCGACCAACCCGAACAACACAATAAGACAATAGAATAAACTGCAGTCCTGGTAAACTACGATTATATCGTAATCACATTTCGATATGTTCTGGTATAGGTTGCTCCTTTATTCACAATAAAGAGATCTTCTCTTACAACCAAACGAAATTCTAATACAATTTACATAAGAGAAATCTGCTTTACAATCTGCCCTTATATATAAACTGTAGGTAGCATTATTCATACCTACTTTGCATATTGGGGTAGAATTTATAATCATTTACATATTAGTATATACAAGCATGTCCTATCTTGCATGTAAATATCATATATCACGGTGTAGAATGTTTTAATTGTCTAAAACATATTTAATTAACTAAATATTTAAAAAATAGTATATATTTATCATACAAGGTGTATAAATTATTTTGAAAATTGTTATGTATTTAGGGTTACCTCGTCGTTGTTAACAAATTATTGTAACTCGCATTAATCCTTTTTTATATGTATTTATTTAGACAAAAGATTATAAAGTCTAACTAACGACGCGGTCATTATTTACCGAAAGCCAGAAACAAAAGATGTAGGAAAAATGATGATAAAAATAATAATTATTTTGACCGGTCATTATTTAAATTATATATAATATTGACCAGTCATATGAAATATCTATCAAAAATATTATATATATTAAATTAAATATTTATAAACTGAAATATAGAGGAAATATAGAGTTACATAATATATTTATTCAGATTATATTATGTATGTGATATATTCAACGTTAAACATTTTAAATACATATTTAAAATTGTAAAAATAAATAAACCTATTTCATAATAATATATAGATGAGTCTATATCTAAATTTAATTAAATATTTTATGAACATTTTGAATTTTAAGCGCAGTTCATTATTTTTCGATATTTAATCCGGATGTAATTTTCTGAAGATAAATACAATTTGAAAATGATAGGTTCTCTTTACATAATCTAATATTAAATGCAATTTAGAATTAAAATATATACATTTCAGAATAAATTAATAACTCTAATTCATAATATATATATGCATTTCGCAAATTTAAATATGAAGATTATATGAAATATTATAGTATATATTTAATTAAATATTATATATCCATCGTGATTTTAATTATTAATATATATATTTCTGATTATAATTTGATATATTATATATGCAATATATATTTTAAATGTTTAAAATATTATAGCAATGTGTGTACATTTAATACTTAATATGCTTCAAAAATAAATATCAAAATAAAAATGATTTAAGAATCAGACGATGTTATATATTCTATTTATTCGAAAAAAGATAAATGCTGAAAAAAGGTGATATACATAGCGCGTCAAAATGAATTATTTTATTTCAAAATAATCAATTTCTACTAAACATAATTATGAACATTTTCCAAGAATGATTATATGTTCCCACAATTAAATAATAATAAAATTATTTATAACAAAACAATAATTAATTTTTGAAAGTTTTCATTAACGAACATAAAAATTTGGACATACAAATTAACAAAATAATAATATGGGATAATAATTATTTTTTTGTTAACTTCAAAAAAAAAACTTTCTACCCGAGAAAAAGAGCAATAATCATTATAAAACTATATAATCATTTGTATAATTACAATAATTAGAAGAAAATATAATATCTTACAAATTAAAAATAATAATAAAAAGAGAAAAGAAATGAGCAGTCAAAGTGAAACTGCAAAAGAATTTTTAGAAAATTACTTTCAAGTTCCTTTCCATTATGGTTCACAATTACTCCAAACCCTTTTATCATTATTTCCCACCATTATAGAGACCATTGTTGGCGCTGTTGCTTATGAATAAAATTTCTAAATTGTCGCAAGGTAGATCAATATTAATTACTGGTCATGGGATTAGGAAGTTTCAGACAAAAGGGCCCCCAAGGTTGCTAAGAGAGATTAAGCTTCCATTCACAAGGTAGAAGGAGACAAGAATATGAGCAGGGAAAAGGGGGAGGGGTAAGGTTATAAGAATTAATTGAATTGCCTTCTTGGGAGATCAATTTTAAATTGTTTAAGCTACTTTAGGCATCGTAATAAAATAACGAGAATATGGTCATTGAACTGTTAGGAAAGTTGATTGATCGATTGTTCCCTTCTTTAGTTTAAAGAGGAGTAGGGTTAGAGAGTTTGGAAAAAATGATGCAATGAAGGAAATTTGAATATATAGATTGGAGGATACACAAGCAAAGCAATTTTAACAACAAAAAATCAATATATATAGAAAAAATAAAAAAATTGAACCTCTCATGAGCGACCAGCTAAAATATGGATACTCCTGGTGTCTCCAGAAAGTAGTCTTTCATTGGAGGTTGGATTGAATACGGTCAAGTCATTTTGAATGTTTCAAAATTGGTCGTTTTGAGAGGTAGTCGTTCATGGGAGGTTATACATAAAAGCTCTCTATGATGAAATTTTAGTAACAAAACTACTCTCTTCAGCGAAAAATATCTTTATATATATATATATATATATATTACACAAGAGCAATTTTAACGACAAACAATCAATATATATAGAAAACATAATAAAATTGAACCTTTCATGAGAGACCAGCTAAAATAAAGATATGGTCTCTTCAGGAGATAGTCTTTTATTGGAGGTATTTTAAATAAGATCGTTATTTTGAATGTCTCGAAATTGGTCGCTTAAAAAGGTGGTCGTTCATAGGAGGTTATAGGTAAAGCTCTTTATGATGGAATATTTAGTGACAAAAAAACACTCTTCAGCGAAAATTCTTCTTTTTTCTATATTACACAAAAGGAGTATTTTGGATTTTAGTTATTTATATCTGAAATCGAAATTGTATGCCTCTTTTAATAGGAAATATACGTTCTGTAGATTGCACAATATCTTCATAATAAATTTCTATATTTTTCTTCTCTTTTTTTTTCGACAGTATCTTTACATTCAGGCCATATACAAATACAACTTTTTTCTACCTAAAAAAGATATTTCCTTATAGTACAGAGTACCCTAAAAAGTACTTTACAATATCAAAGTGTGATAACATGATTTATAATTGATTTACATTAATTAACCATAATTTTAATAATGATTCAACTATAAAGGTTTGTAATATGTGTGTTTCACAGATAACAGAGTTATTTAGAATAATGCAAAAAAAGACTGTGCGAAATGGTTTATAGGAAGCAGATGTGATAAACAGGTCTAGAGAAACTTCAAAACACTATTTGACAAAAAAACACATTATCGCCCCTCAATAAAAAAGAGGAAATTTCAAACCATATCATTGACTGTATTGGCTTATCAATTGATGAGCTTTAGTCATCCCCAGAAAACACCATCAAAAGTCTCAAGCTCTACAAGCTTGATACCCAGTGTGGAGATAAGAAAGAATTGGGTGCTGCGCTGCCTGGAGTATAGGAGCTCCATCTATTATTTCTTCCTGTGGTGAATCTGTATAAGACCGCTGGTCTTAATAAAGGTTTGTGTGTGAAAAGAAAGAATTGGGTGGAAATACGAAGCCGCACACCTAACCATTAAGCTACGATTGGCATGGAAAGAATTGGGTGGAGATAAGAAAGAAGAATAAAGAGTTACTAAAACTTTACAGAGAACAACAAGCTATGGGGATATGAAGTATAAAATTGGCCTGTAACTGGGTTATAAAGTACATTTTGGGACACCCTGAGTACTATTCAATTTCAGACAAAGAAAGTACACCACAATCTTGTAAATCTTGATGCGCTGAGAGATAATCCTTTTAGCCATTGATGATCAAGTTTCAGATATCTCAACGGCGTGACTGGGAAATTGTTAGCTGCGAGCAACGTTCACAATTTTGGTTCTAATCAACTTCCTTTCTTGTACGGATGGATTTATTCTCTTTTGTGGGCTCCAAATGGAAGATATCACGACTCGAACAGTCTGTGAGATTTGGTAAATTTAATGAAAATGTATGGTTCAAATTGTGCAGAAAATGACTCTGATGTATTTTTGTTCGATTAAGCTTTTTCAGTGATACGTTAACCTTACGTTTGCACGAAGAAATGTGTGGTCATTGGACATGCGTCGAATCTGTAGGCTGTTGTTGGGTGCTGCGCTGCCTGGAGTATAGGAGCTCCATTTATGCATAGAAAACTCCTATATGAAAAACGACAAAAAATAATACTAGAATAGTTTACATTTCTTAAATATAGATGGCGTGCTAATGTCTTACGTATACACTCATGGATAAAACTTAAGGAAATAAAAAGTCTTTGATGTCACCGGTCGTCTATTTTTTATTTTATATATATATATAGAAGACAGAGGCAATTTTGTTCACACTTGGTTATCTCGTGTGTTTTCAATATAGGTCACTGTGTATCAAATATCTTTCAGAGTTATTGTCTCAATCCCAATAAACATGGTAAAAGGTAAAACTTCCTTAAGTTTTGTCCATGAGTGTCTATCTACTTTGGATATACAAGTGTAGTGTGGATATTGAAAGAAGAGTTTCTAAAAGAGGAAAAGGACATTAGAGTTGGACACGGTTAGATAGACAGGGTGTCTGTCCTCTTATCTAGTAGATAAGAATATCAACTTAGTGAACCATTAAATTGGACAGTACCTACTAGTTAGTTCTGTAGCTGGGACATCTTGTAACCACTTTAATTGGAGTGGTATAGAGGAAATTTCAGGGTTATACTCTCATGGACAATACTTAAGGAAGTTGTACCTTCTAGCATATATATAGATTTTATT